GGGCTCGCGCTGCTCGGGCGGAGAGCGCAGAGGGAGCCCGCCGGGCTCCCGCCGGCCGAGAAAGGAAGGGGAGAGGAAAGGGGCGCTGCTTTGGCTTCAGCCGCCTTTGAAGGCATGTAAACGGGGCTCAGGGCCCACAGGAACCACCCTCCACTCGCGAAGAAGGCCATTTCACCCGCTTAAAGCCAAAAGGTGTGAGCAGAGATACGTGAGCGTTGTTTCCGAGGGCATCGATTACAGGTACCCCACTTCCATACCACAGCAAGGTACTGGTTCCAGGGCTGTGAATGAAACCACTGTAGCATGCTGCAGCACTTGAGGCCTGGGCACGATTCTGCAGCTGGTACAGTCCTGTCCTACAGTCACAGGCAGCAACATCTGTGTATCAGTTAACCTGGTGATGCTAATTATGCACCTACATGTGTCTTTTTACTACCTAAGGATGAAGCCGGGATGAGATAAACTACTTTGATGATTATTCTAGCATGTTTCTAAAACAAAGTCAAGTCTTGCATCACACAGGCACTTCCCTTTTTGGGTAAGAGCTCAGACAGTCTTCCCTCACACTGAATAGAAAAACTGAATTTAAGAAAGGCCACTGGGGGGAAAAAAAGATACTAGAACCATTAAGACGCACTCCTGTTAGTGCTAATATGCCAGAATAAATCGATTCAGCTTTAATATATTGATTTTGCACGTACTTTTTCCATTACAAATTGAGAGTCAAGGAGAAAGGTCAGTGACAGCTAAAGTGCCAATTAACATGTTTAGCTGAAAATTAGTCTGCCCTAATAATTCACATGTTGGCAGGAGTACCATTATAGCAATCTCATTTATGTTGTAGCCCCTAAAAGGCTGTTATTCCATCTGTAGGGACATACAGATGTTTAGACATTTGTTACCCCCTTCCCTTCTCCCAGTTTCCCCACTTTCTCTCCTGTTATAATAGACCTTGACCGTTTCTAGGTCCTTTCACTTTCTATACTAGAGAGAACAGGGAAGAGTCCTGTTTTTAAAGATGCTTTGAAGCAAATAGCACCCTCTTTAAGGACTGACTCAATGGCTTTTAGAATGATTATCTAAGAGAAGCAAGCAGCAAGTAGCAGTGGAATAGAGCAGAACATATTACTTATATATAAGTTCATAAGCTTACCTTAACTGGAGTTCCAAAAATTGATCTGAAATTGATCTTTGTTGCTGTTTGTTTCATTCACATTTAACTGCCTCATGATCTTCCTACAAAAGGTTCCATTTACCATGTGAAGGATGTGTGTGCTATTAGATAAACAGTACTATTAGACGGTTAAGAAAGGCGAGTTGTCACTGTTGTAAGCCACATTTACACAACCTATTTACTGTAGGAGTCTAATAATTTTTATCCCTTAAGCTAAAATTTAAGGTAAAAGTGTCTATTTTAAAAGGTATTCTCATATGTAATACATGAATATAGGAAACAAGCTTCTACTTGTTTTCTTTTTAGTCTTCAAAAACTCAGAAGTTCCAGCGTAAGAGTCTCCTTGAGGTTGCTATGCGCTTGGAACACAATGCCTTTAACTGCTAGCAGGAATTCCTATTCCTTGAATCAAATGGAGAAAGATTACTTCTACATGAACTAGCCACTAGTGAGGGTTATGTTGGCATTATTCCATTGTGTTTTTTATAGAATCGGCATTTTCAAATCCTTTCCAGGAACACTAGTTTGCAAGTTGCAAACTGAACATGCTAATATTTTTGCCTCCCTACTTTGTATCAGGTAGCCCAGGGAAGAGCAAAAGTAATCACAACCGTTATGTAGGGTTCAGGGGGATCACTTGTGAAAGAGAGGATTAAGAACTGTGAAACATACAGCACAGCTTATTACAGAAATCCAGATGCAGCCTCAATGGCCTTCTGACCCCACTCCGGAACAGAAGGCAAGTAAATCTCTACCACCTACCCTACTAGCAAGGAGCACTTTACCCTGTGTCAGCAATTTGCAACACAGTACAATAGCAAAGCAAACAAAGTTGTCTGTGCTTCTAGGTGCTTAACATATTCTAATAGCTATTTTTTCCAAGCAAGCAGCGGCTTTTAAATAGCATTTGTTTTATGTTATTGTGATAGAATAGCAGCATATAGAAGTGACTTCTACTTCCATATGTGAGAAAAAAGAAAGCAGCTAATATGGCTTTGAACAATATAAAGTTAAGAATATCAGCCCTGTTAGGACTCTGTTTTGACAAAAACAGACTCTTTTCCAGTTTACATTTTAGAGAGCTAGAGGTGTAGTATATCGTGCAGTCATACATAGCTCAAAGAAATTCTCAGAGGAAAAAAGGCTCCCACTCAGTATGCAGGGGCAGACTTCTCATCAGCTCTTTCTCCAAAGATAGATGTGTTTTAAATGCAAAAAGGAGCCTTAAAGTTGATGTTTCAGGCTCAAAGCTGAAAGTTTTTTTTCCTTTCTCAAAAGGAAGCTATTTTTCCTATTAAACCCTTTACTGTGTTTAATTCAGATCATCAAATACACAGTTCTCTTCCTGTTTTTTTGTTTTGTTTTGTTTCATGGGTTTACCTAAATGAGCAGGTCTCAAACTTTAGATCAGGAACTGTTAGAGAACTCTCTCCTTTCTCCTCTACACGTGGTTATCTGGCTATTCCCTGGCCTGCCTTCTTCCTCTCACCACATATCTCCGCCATCAGAGCATGATGGTCTGGGTCCACCACAAAATCTGCAAGTGCTATCAGATATAGCCCTGGCCCTGTCATACAAACCTCTCCCAAACTTTGGCTTCCAACAGGAAGATCCTTGCATCTTCTACCAGAACCCTCCCAGAGATCCTGTGCTGCCATTTCTACCAGCACCTTTCCATTTCTTCCCTTAGTGGATCCTCCTTTCCTCAGCAAATTCACAGAGGAACTTCTTTTCCACCTTTTCTTGGCTCAGCTAGGTTCCTAGGCAGAATGGGGCAGGGCATGCACGTGCAGGTATGTCTGCCTAAACGGCCATCACTTCGCCTGAACTATAGCCTGACATTCCATGGGAAGGAGGGGCACGTGCAGGTACAAAATGGAATATTCCTGAGGGTTCCCACTTCCAATCTCATAGCCCTTTCTTTCAGTCTGAGAGCCACATAATGTAGTTCATAAACAGAACCTCCCCACTTCAAGATTTTTTTTTTTTATAAGACAGAAGACATGAGCCAGCAAAAACAAAACCGGATCAAAGTGAGAACAGAGGAGAAACTAAGCCAGAAACATGGTTGTAACTATCTCATAAGCAATTTGATACAAAGATCTGTTTATTACCCAACAATGTGACAATATATAAAGACAGTGTGGAATGTGACATTTACAGGGAATTTCTTTGACATGCACATATACTGTTGAAGTTTTAATAGTTCCAAAACATGTTATTAAGCTGAATAAATATTCCCTGCTTCAAAAAATCATTTACTTTTACATAAAAATATATAATATTGCACTCTTTACAAGGCCAGCAATTTTGCATATTGATTTTTAAACAAGTGGAATTCTGCTTTAT